CTTTTTCATTTCTTGTTTTCCGTACTCCCGCTTGGTCTTCGCTTCATCCTCAGCAGTTTCCACACTTGCTTCATGACTTGGCAGGATGACTAACACTGAATTTCTTCTTGATTTCTGCTCAACACTGCTTTTGCTTGGCTCACTGCATGCTCCACCTCCCCAGAAACCCACATACTTTTCCTCACGGTCCTCCTTTACCTTCCTCTTGGGAGGGGATGGCTTTTTGTCCAGACCCATTGCAATGATGCACCTAGAAAAAACCAAGAAGTATCACGCTTTTCTTTCTGTGAAGAATGGAAGGGCAGCAGGTGCAGTGAGCTGTTCAGCCATTCCCAGCAGCGAAACCTGGTACCTCTGTGCCTCCGCACTGCCCCTGACACAACAGGGGTAACGACTCGCTTGGAGAAGCACCCTGAAACCCTCAGGAGCTCCACTAACACAGATGCAGTCCTTGAAAGAGAAGACAACTAAAGTGTAAACAGATTAAAAACAAAATATAAATTATCATTGATTTCAAGCTACACCAAGTATGAAGATAGAACCACTGGGAAGGCAGACAAGCTCCAAGTCAGATGTGCACTGGATCCAGTTCCTGCTGTAACACCCATAAATTGGGAACTCAGTAAAGTGGGAATTCGGGTTTTGTGGGTAAGACTGTGTTTGGGTTTTTTTATTTGTCTGCTGGGTCTAACACCTGTGGGGGAAGAGGGAGATTGAAGTTGAATTCTTTGCAGTGTCTGTTCTGTTTTTCCTACCTAATAGCAACCCAAATAGCTGGAAAATAAAGCATTTTGGATGACCTGTTGAGGCTGCTCCTCCAGTATAAAATGGAGTGACAGCCTCTGTGTCTTACGGTTAGGAGGCTCATACAAGAGACCACAGCCCCTAATCCTGATTAATGTCAACTGCAGACACCAAGAGCCACCCTACAGCACTCACGGGTGCCAGGACATCGTGCTGTATGTAGTACAGAGTCAAATCGCCAAGCAGAGGATGAAGCTGAAACTGGAACTTTCAGTGTAGCTAATCACAAGTCTCTCTAGTAAACCATATTTTCCTCACAGACAACTGTGTCTTAAAACCTTTTTCCTTTCCCTGATTGCAATTCCACTCACATTCCAGCTGTTTGTGAACTACTGTGAGACATCCTACAGTCACCCAGTCCACAGATGTTTTAGTTCTGAGTGAGCACATAAAACGTAAACCTGATGATTTCTGGAGGGTCCTACCTTGCGGTTATTCATTCCTGGTATTTTGCTCAGGGACTGAAGCAGTTCTGCTGGACCTAGGCCAGCACAAAACTCTCAGTGCAAGGAGCACAGCATCAGTGTAGAAATCACTGAGGCATCACCTCTTTGTGAACCAGAGAATGAACCCATCAAGGCAGATGAGCTGGGATCTTTGCTGAGAATTGGAGTGGGTACCGAATGTGTGGAGGTGGTGCCATATTTGAAGCAGAAACAAACACAAGTGCATTTGATCTGAAGGAGACGTGAAAATAGTTGTCATGTACAGGGAGAATCTGGTTAATGGAGGTGGGTTTTAGTCACCAGATAGGGTTGGCTGGGCAGACAAGAGACAGGAAAACAGAGATATCATTAAGAATAAGCGGGGAGGTGGGACAGGAAACAGAGGCAACTCACGAGGAAATTATCCAACTCCTGGAGACCATATTAATTCAGAAAACTCACCTCAAATCTTTCTAGATATCAGACAGAAATGGAGATTTGGGCATTTCCTGAGCTCTGGAGCCAGGAGAGAAAGCTAGTGGGAGGTTCCCTGTTCAGAACCACGTCCGATTTGAACTCAGGTCACTTCCACTGCTTTGAACATACTAAGTAATACATGAACACAAATCATGTCCAGTGTTAGACTGAAGTCAAAAAAAAAAAGGCACAAGAGAGAAGGCTTGAGGCTGTGCTGACTGACAAGACCCCGTGCAGCCACTGCCCACTGCTCTGCGTGCTCTACAGGGTGACTGCACAGAGGCAGCTGGCTTTGATGGCATCCTGGGCCGTGAGACTCTGAGGGATAAGCTCCATTCTGCACAATTCAAGGGCACTGAGAAACAGGCCAGGTTCTACAGAGCTCTGAGGTGCCAGAGAAATGGAAAAAGAAACAAAGGAAACAAGTGATAAACTCTCTAAAAATGGGGCTGCTGAGTCCTTGTGTGCAAAGTGCATTTATCCCCGTACCTGTAGCAAGGAGATGCTCCCTCCACATGGAGAAACGCGAAGAATCCATGTCTGCCTCCCAGCCTGGAGCACTTCTGATGCTTGTACTCACAGCAGCAGCTCAACCTGTCCACTTGTATCCCGTTGAGAAAAAAGGTGAGGCTGAATGGGAAACCATGGTGCCTCTTTGAGACGAACTGAAAGGTCTCTGTAATCACAGAAAGGGTTCAGAGAAAAAAGTTGTGCTGTAGTGGCACTTACTTAGATAGGGCTTGGAGCAATCTGCTCTAGTGGAAGGTGTCCCTGCCCGTGGCAGGGGTTGGAACTGGATGAGCTTTAAGGTCCCTTCAACCATAACCAGTTTGGGATTCTATCATACTGTCAGTATTGCAATGGTTGTATCTCACCTGCATCACCACTAAAGTACCCAACCCTCTGAGGTCAGGTACATGGGCTCTCAGTTGATAAAACTCTACCTCCTCCTTACACAACAGCCTTGTTTCTTTCCAACCCAGAGAACCAAGCTGGACACACCTGGGACAAGAAAATACATCCCCAGTTTGGCCACTCACTGCTACAGTGGAACAGAGACCAGAGCTCCCGCCCAAAAAAAAGTGAACTCTTGCCTTAGGAGGGTGCACATTGTGCACAGAATGTTCAGGATTCACAGAACCATAAAATCATGGAATGGTTTGTGTTGGAAGGGACCTTAAAGCTCATCCAGTTCCAACGCCCTGTCTTGGGCAGGTACACCTCCCACTAGCTCTCTCTCCTGTCTCCATAGCAGAGGTGCCCCATTGATGCACCATCTTCCACACTCAGTGAAAGTGCAAACACAGACACAGGGGGTTCTGTAGCTGGAATGAGAGGTACAATCTGTGGAATCACTCTTCCCTGCACGTGAAAATCTCCCAGCCATTTCCTCTTTCCGATTTCCCACAACACAAGTCACCTTCTCTTGGTGTGATGGAACTGCATTCACATAGAAGAGATGGGAATGGGTCTCCTAGTATGTACTTTTCCTTGTGGAATAATAAGCAACATCCACCAACGTACTATAGCAAGTCAGAAACAGATAACCCCTCTTTAAGGACAGTTCACTGCTATAACTACTTTATTAACAGTACATCTTTATACAAAATTAATCTAAGCTAGAGCATTTTAAATCAGTTCTCTAAATTCCTTCCACCATAATTTGCAAAAGTAACCTCAGTTTCAATCATGAAACAGTAGATCCAGATGTAGTGTGGAGGCAGATGGTATAAAACCCCCTGGAAGCATAGATCTTGACTGAGCTCAGCTGAAGTCAGTTTGACACCACATCAGTATTCTAGCCCCCCCAAAAAAGACGTTGCCAGCATCAATATGAGCAATCTGATTGTCCACCCTTACCTCCTTCCAGCAGCCTGCCTTTATAGACACAGAGGTTCTCTCCTCCACAATGCTGCTGATAGACTTTGATTTCATCCCTGTAATCAGCATCATCGTGAGATAAACGCACGCTTTTTCCCAGGAAGATCATGGTAACGAGGGCATTGCTGCGAGGCGAGGACCGGGGGATCCCTCCAGCGGTCTGCAGCGGGATGGACACAGAGGGTGCATCAGCCTCCAGCTCTGACACAGGGGAGCGCCGAGGTGGACGTGCTGCATACACGGAGGCTTCCTGTCTGCGACGCAGGCCTTTTGCTGCTTCAGCTGGAAAGCGGTTTGTAACGTGCTGAAGGGCAGAAAAATGTTTTGAATTGAAAATCCATTGCATTGAATTGCCAAAAATGTCAGGACCACGTTTCATGACCTACATCGTCCCTCCCAGCCCTGGGTTCCTACAATTGCCTTTACAGAAATCAAAACTGTCTGGAGATATACTGTAACAGATGAAGGTGTCACATGTGGAAGGCATTTCCTATATCCCTCTGAAGTTCTGGTACCAGAGATGGTCAGAGCAGAAGCGAACTGGCTAATATGGAAGGGTTAAGTAAGCGTTCCTACAGGTTTTTGTTCAAGCATATTTTTACCCCTCCATTGATCAAAACACCAAGTGTTCTAGTAGAAAGAGATGGGTGGCAGTTAGATATTTTAATAGCTATAAATTCTCTTTCTTTCAAAAATTCAGTGAATACTTACGCAAACTAGTTACACACATCTTTCAGCACTGGGCAAATACACCAATAAGGAAGGTAATATGCCTCTACATGAACAGAAAAGCAGTCAGAGATGACTCACCTTTGCTGGAAGTTGCTCTGGATCACTGGGTGCAGTGGGGAGATGAAATCGTCTCCCTCTGGGCACCCCCTTCCCCTCTGCGTTTGGGCCCCTGTTTTGCAGGCGAGGAGGCGGCACTGGCATCACGTAGTTGTTGATGGCAGGGAGTTGATATGGGGATACACCAGTCACATACTCCACTGAATTCAGAAGTCTTAACCCAGTCCTCTCCTGCTGCAAGACATTTAACCAGGTTAAATAGGTACCGAGCACAATGAACCAACCATGCTCGGATGCTCTTTACATTTAGTAACACACATCCTTCTAGAACAATTCTTTCACTTGGTGCCTGCAGTTTTGTTCATGAAAACATTTCTGTGCTAAAACCCTTCCTTCTAATTTGCAAAGCGACAGGCAGACAGCTTGAAAATGTCACCCTCAGATATGTATGATATCATATATATATATCATATATATATGATATATATCTGGTTGAAGATGTCCCTGCTTTTTGCAGGGGGTTGGACTAGATGTCCTTTGAAGGTCCCTTCCAACCCAAACTATTCTATGATTATATAACATCATCCTATGATTATATATAAATATATATATATAACATCATAAACCATGTACTGCTTGTAACCATGCAGAGTCCTGCCCACAAGCAGGTAGAAGACTGCACAGCTCCACAGCACTGCAGCACTTTCTCAGCACCCAAATTCCAAAGCAGTCAGAATCTGCCAGCAGTAACATCATTTGGCATCGATTATACAAGAAGTGGTTCAAAAGGCTACTTTCCCACCTGTGGTGGAGGTTTAGTCCTCCTTCAAGATGAAATGCAAACAGAGGATCAGGGCCCTGGAAGGCAAGACATCTCCAGTGCAAGTGCTGCATGCTCTGGGTCTGAGCTCTGTGTCATCTTCACAACCCGTGACTGACTCAGCTGTCCTGTCAGTAGTGGGCACTAAAGAAACTGTTCAAATCGCCCATAATTTGAGTATACAGAGATAGGGACAACAAATTCTTGCAGAAAGGATCATGACCGTCACAATACACAGCAAATGCACAGCAGAAGGGAGCTATTCATACAGTGTCTGCCAGTCAGTGGCTCCTGGTCACAGTCCCCTTCCAAAACCCTCCAGTCCCACAGAGCCCCTAACACAAAGCCCACTACAGAACATTTTTCTAGAACAGAAGATAAGGCCAAATCTCAGCTGAAAGTAACTGTGTGCACATGGAGATCATATTTGGCTACTCCAACACACTCTCATTCTCTAGACCCACTGGTGTCCTTAGGAGGAGGAAAGGGGGAAAAAAATTAAAAAAAAGGCTTTTTTTGCTACTTTGCAGCTGCAGATGAGGATGAAAACTTGTAGGATTGTGTGAAAATATTCCTGAGTCATTGGTGTTAACCAGGTGCCTCCCTCTCTACGTAACAAAAAGTCTATGTAGAGGGAGAAAATTTTGCATGCAGAGAGATTTTACACTATAAAAATATAAGTCACCAGATTTTTCCTCACTGTGATCAAGAACTGGGCATTAGGTCAGTAAAACAATGTCTTGAAAACTAAGGGGAGGTTAAAAATGGGGGTTTAAATGCAAGCTGACTGCCATTTGGAAGGCATGCTGCCTGCAGAACTACAGTACCAAAGCAGTATTACAGAGCTGTCCCCAGCATTAGGTCATTTTCAGAATGAAACGTGGTCTTACCCCAGTGGCAAACTGCTGGTCGTATCCCAGCACATGGCACTTCTGGTTAGAGCTTGAAGTCTTTATTAGAGACACCACTGTAGCACTGTTGCGAAGTGGCTGGAGGCGAGGGGGCTGCTGCATGTTTCCTGGAGCTGTATTGGGTCGCCAGGAAGTCTGGAGAAGGAACAAGGAAACAGCCATGAAATCTCAGTGCAGAGCTTCCAGTGCACAGCAGCAGCAGAGAGGGAAAACAAAGAAAGCACCAAGCAAGACCTTGGGAAGGGATGAGTGACTCTCAAGCACCTTCAGGAAATTACCTTTTCTAGGCTGTCCCTAAAGAGCCAGACCCCTTCAGACATCTCTAATTGAGCATCCAAAAACTGGAGCACCCAGATTAACTCTTGGCCATAAACACAGGGTTTGCTACTGGCTCTTCACAGTGCAGCCCTGAAGCAAACACAACGAGCTCACAGTAGCTGTAGTGGTGTGCCTGTTTCAATGGCTTCAGCACATGGACACTGACAGAATGCATGACACAAGCATGCCTGGGTTTGTTCAACATTCAGCATTTTCCTGGCTTTTTTATTGCATCTCTTCCCTGTATACCCTTCAGAATACCGAGTTCAAATGCTGTAACTGAAATGCTGCTTGGCTGAGTTAACTCACCATCCTAGAAATGTCAGGCTCCATGGACTGGTGATGAGGAGGAGGGCGTCCACCACTGCAATCACAGTGTCCAGGTGCCCTCTGTGTGGAGAGGGGAAGGTCAATCAGGACTGGAAACCTCTTTTCAGTCTGCACCAATTATTATTGAAAAGGAGAACCAGCTAAAAATTAACTATATCTTTCACCTTTCACCTTAGACTTCAGTATCATTATATTTCAAGGGTGTATCAACATTCCTTCTCTGCCTATTAACAGGCAGCAAGAGGCTTCTGAGCCAGAGCTCCAAAGCACTGCCTTCTGGGGTGAGCTTTAGTCTTACTTCACCCTTCAGCTCTGTTTTCTGAAAGACCCTCATTGCTTTCAGGATCTTACACCATGTGTAAACTTCCCCACAGCCCCGCATTCATTGACAACACTTGGAAGTACTGACACTGGCCTGACCTAGGGTGGCAAGGCAGATAGAAGGGAAAGATTAAAGCAGATTTATCACAAAGCAAAGCTATTTTTTTCCAAGGATCTGATGTTCCATTCCTGCAACATCAGCTTCTTGAGATTCCTCTTTAATGGCACAATCTTGCAAAGAGGAAATCAGCCTCAAGTGGGGAAGGATAAGGCCCTAATCTGGAACAACCAGGGCAGTCAGTGCTCTAGAAGCAGCCCAGATGCCCCAGGTATACCTGCACACTTCCAACTGTGTACCTATAGCACATGGAGCAGTGGGAAAACTCACCAGTTGTGAGTGACCAGCTGGTTCTCCAGCCACTAAAGGATGGAGCCCATAATGATATCTTGGAGCAAGTGGTGGATGTGGGGAGTGCATAGAGCTGGTGCCTTCTACCGATCTTCTGAACTGCTCCACCTAAAAGAACCAAAATTCACATCTCTGAGGTACTACATACTCTAACAGCAGTGCCTGAGCCTGCCTTCTGTCTGTCCTTCAGTGGAGAGCTGTGAGATCAGCTTGTCTGGACCCGATGGAATACCTGCTTAAGGAAGGAAAGGAAATCATGGGGAGAATGAGAGACGACAGAGAAGACTTGTTCCCACCTCTGATTCATTTCCCTGTAGCTCCCTCCAACTGCTGATCCCCCCAGACTCAGGTCATCTGCCTGTTTGTATCTCTGAACTCTTGGTTTGGGTGAAGGTCTCTTCAACATGAGTGCATCTGCCACTGCCTTGCTTTGGCTGCTGCCCCTTCCTACCTTTTCTCCCCAAAAGCTCCACACTGGGCTGACTGCCCTTCTGGAAACAGATAGCTCTGTCTGTCATCCCCCCCTGCTCAGTCACCTGCTTTTCTCCTTTCATTTTAGATGAGCTACTCAGCCCAATTCACTGAGCGTATGAGGTGAGACTTTTAAGTTACACTGCGAATTCCAGCCAGGTTCCTGCTCCCGGTGTGGCACCACAGCAAAGACACAGGTCATGTATCTGCAGGCATCTCCCTTACACTTCTTACCGAAGCAAGTTTTGGTTTATGTTCCCAAGTTATCCAAGTCCAGCACCCCTTGGCAGGGTGCCCGATTGCCGCTGCCACTGCGGTGACTCTCCACCAGCAGCACTGCAGTCAGCAAACAGTGCCTTTGCAGTTACCACAGTCACCAGTGGCTTTCATTTAAATCTCCTTTCTTTACCTGATGAATTGCTCAGAAATGTGTTATTTAAAATGAAAAAGATCTGACATTGGTTTTCAAGTGCTCATAGCAGCAGCTCGGTTCTGCATGTGTTCTTCTCGATGCATGGAGGCTCCTGATGGAGAAATAAGATGTTGTGTGTATTTCAGCCAAGATGAGAACAAATTTTCCCGTATGAGTCCAAGTGACTTCATGGGGAGAAGAGCCATTGACCTCTGTGGTATTTCCATGCCTCTATCAACTACAGAATCAAGCTCTACCTACATGACACCAAAGTGAAGACTTCTGAAGCTATTTTTCATTATTCACATGCTGGTTCTGCTAAATATCATGTTAAGAGGCAAAGGACTGAAAACGTGAGCTCAGTGCTCATTGTGTCTAGAATTACCAGAACTGTGACATGTGTCTTGAATTATTCATCCTGCTCCAGTTCCCTATTTCAAAACAGAAACAGTAGAACTAGAAAAGGTAAAAAGTGACACAGTAATGAGAGGCCTGGAATGGCTCATGTATGAAAGATTCAACAGACAGAGGGTCTTCAGCTTGGAAAACTGAGAAAGAATATGAAAAAAGTATGTGAAACCACACATGCCTTGGGAAAGGAGAACAGTTATTAACTTTTTTCATAACAAGAATAATGGAGCATCAAACAGAACTGTCAGACAGCAGATACACTAATAATTGTGCACAAATGCAAGGGAGTGCCATTTCATAAAACTCATCGTTAAAATCCACAGCCAAGAACACTGCAGAACCAAATAATAAGTAGTTTCAAAAGGAATTAGGTACAAGAAGGGAAGTTCCTGAACTGCTGGATATAGGAAGGATCATCCTCTACTTGCCTGGTTCTCGCACTTTTTCCATTCACATCAGGGATGGAACACTTGGTGCAGTGAATCTCCAGCCTGACTCATGGCTGTTATTTACCACAGGACAGGAGCACTCAAGCCTTACCTTGACTTTCTGCACCCTCTCCTTCCGCACAGAACTTTCAAGTTTCCGTTTTATTTCCAGTTGATGATGGCGCTATCAATGTAAGAGAAAGAGAAATCTCATTAATAAGCATTATGAGATGAAAATGAAGGTAGAAACACTTGCTTCTGTTCTGCTTATCACCTGCCTGCCTCCTGGTCATCACCGTCATTGAGCCCTACTATAAAACTACTACTGATTTAATGCATTTGCATTACATCTGGGTATATTAACATTGGCAAGGGAAAAACTGAGCATTTGTAAAGTTGTAGGGACCAGCTCCATTCTTGACACATACCAGGAACGTGCTATATTGTGTACTTGGCTAAGATATGTAACTATCTTGTCCAAGATAACTCTCTTATCCAACTACTTCATTTTGACTAGAATTTTTTAAGCAAACTATCCCTGTGAATATCATCCCATAATGTGACAACTGCCAAAGAACAGTAAGTGAGGCAGGACAGTGTATGTTCTAATGTCACTGTGGTTTAATAGTTACAGGCCAATGAAGGTTTCATGTGGTGGATGTCAAGCACAAAGACTGTCCTTATTCCCAGCAGGAAAGAGCCTTTCAGGGGAGCACGAGGACCCAGCTATGGCAAACAGTCCAGTATGAGTTAACAGCCACTGGCTGTCAGCAGGGAAGCAGGTGGAGGCTGGCACATCCCTGGCAAACACAAACCTCTATGTCAAGGACCTTGTGAAATATGGCGCGAGCCAGGCACTCCTGTACGTATCTCTGGTGATCCTTCCTCAGAGCATTTAGCCGGTATTCCTTCTCAGGTATTATTCTTCCACTCCTTGAGATCTGCCACAGACAAATATAATGTAACTAAAAGGGAAAGGACAGAATAAAGAACGTTTTTAACACAGTACAATTCCCCACAAAGACAGCCTTCTGCTCCCAGGTAGTCACCACCTCTGCTTCTGCACCGGGCTGGAACTCGCCTCCCAGCAGAGAGCTGGGCTTTCCCTCACCCGCCACATGAAGAGAACGGCAGCAGCAGGCACATTTCCTGACAGTGGAGGGCTCAGCGTTAATCGTCATGGGCCGTTGCCCAGGTCAGTGGAGGGGAACTGAATGCTTGCCTTCCTCCTGTGCAGGGGTTGCACTGCCTGGGCTGAACAGTCACACCCAGGAGTGCTGGTCAAACTCACCAGTGACAACACATCCCTCTAACAAATGAATGACAGAACCACTGTGGTCTGACCTGTGCAATGGTAAAAGAAACAGAGCATGCTTTTCCTTATTCTATTCTTTTTTTTCTCAGAAAAGGGAACTTTCCAATCTCACCAGTCCTGATCTCTGAAGATGTCTTCTGATCCTGGCGTTGTTGAAATATCCAACCAGGTGTTTGTCTGTAAGGCTGTTGTAGGTTGCAAGAAACCTGAAATAAAATCAATACAGATGCATATAAAGCCCTTGACAGCCAAATTACAACTGCTTAAGTTATAAAGAGCTACCCAAAAGTGTGCTGCACAAAATGCTGCCTTGATGAATCCCAGTGCTTTGTCAGATAAATGCCCATTGCATTATGCAAAAGGAACATCTTACGCATCTGGAAGCTTCATATCAGAAACAAGCGATGTCTACACAAGATACAGGAGCTCAGCATCAACCAGCGACCACCGCTGAGGCGCAGGGTCCAGAGAGCCCGGCCCTGGAGGTCTCTCTGAGACCGGTGATGAGCGGACCCTCGTCAGGTCTCCATCGTGCCACACAGGTCCCGGCTGAGCCCAGCTGGCACAGACCCAGCCCCCTGGCCGCGGGCCCTGCAGGATACCCGGGCGTACAGCACGCCGCCAGGAGCAGTGTCCCAGCACACCAGCACCCTGCCCCAGCACACGGCAGTGCTCCATCCTCCCCTCCCGCACTGGTGCAGACGCAGCGGCTTCTGCGGA